TTTTTAAATAAATCAGTTTCACCTGATATTATATTTTTAATTCTAAATTTTTTTAAATAAAAGAATTTATATAATTTTGTATTTTTGAAATATTTTTCCTTTTTGTATAAATATATTTCGGTAGATATTATCCCATTCTTTTTGTCATGTTTTCTCCATTCTAAAAATATTTATATATCCAGAATGATTTCAAATCTGTTTAGAATTCTTTTAAATTCTTTGTCTTTGACGTTGAAAGATTTTTCGGTTCAGATTATTACCCTTCCTCTACTGATTTATTTTCGATTTTAAAATTTTAGATAAAACATTCTTTTTACTTGTTGTTAGAATCCTTCGTTTGATTCTTTTTTTTATAAATTAGTTTTGCCTTATATTATATTTTTAATTGTAAAATTTTTTAAATAAAACAATTTATTTGATTCTTCTTTATTCAAATACGTTTCATTGTCGTCTAAATACATTCCAGTACAAAGTATCCCATTCTGTTAGCCACCTTTTTTTTTTTTAAATTATAAATATATCTACATTTATATTATGATTTTACATCTGTTTACACTTCTTTTAAACTGTTTGTCCGTGTTCTTTAAGGATGTTTCGGTGAAGATTATTACGCTTCCTCTACTAATTTATTTCAGATTGTAACATTATTTTTCGATAAAGGATTCTTTTTATTTGTTTTTTAGAATAGTCCGTTTCATTCTTTTTTAATAAATTAGTTTCACCTGATATTATAATTTTAATTCTAAATATTTTTTAAATAAATGAATTTATTTGATCTTTTTTGTTTTCTTTTTTGAAATAGTTTTTCTTTTTGTGTGTATAAATATATTTCAGTAGAAGTTATCGCATTCTGTTAGTCACGTTTCTTTGGAATTATAAAAATATTTATATATACATACGATGGTTTTAAATCTGTTTACATTCCTTTTAAACTATTTGTTCTTGCTGTCTACAGATGTTCCGGTTGAGATTATTCCCATTCCTCTACTCATTTCTTTTAGATTGTAAAATTATTTTTAGATAAAATATTCTTTTTATTTGTTTTTAGAATCGGCTGTATCATTCTTTTTCATATAAATCAGTTTCACCTGATATCATATTTTTAATTGTAAAATTTTTTAAATAAAAAATTTATTTTATTCTTCTTTATTCATGTATTTTTCTTTTTTGTATAAATATATTTCGGTAGAAATTATGGCATTCTGTAGTCATTTTTTTTTACATTCTAAAAATGTTTATATTTATAACATGATTTTGAAATCTGTTTCCATTTGTTTTAAACTGTTCGTCCTTGCTGTTTAGAAATGTTTCGGTTGAGATTATTCCCATTCCTGTACTCATTTAGTTTAGATTGTAAAATTATTTTTAGATGGAACATTCTTTTTATTTTTGTTTTTAGAATAGTCCGTTTCGTTATTTTTTTATAAATCAGTTTCACCTGATATCATATTTTTAATTCTAAAACTTTTTAAAGAAAAGAATTTATTTTATTCTTCTTTATTCGGATATTTTTCCTTTTTGTATAAATACATTTCTGTAGAAGTTATGCCATTCTGTTAGTCATGGTTTTTTAAATTATAAAAATATTTATATATGTATATACGGTGATTTGAAATCTGTTGACATTCCTTTGAAAGTGTTTGGTCTTGCTGTTTAGAGATATTTCGGTGAAGAGTATTCCCATTCCCTTTCTCACTTATTTTAGATTGTAAAATTATTTTTAGATAAAAGATTTGTTTTTATTTGTTTTTAGAGTAGTCCGTTTCATTCTTTTTTAATAAATTAGTTTCATCTGATATTATATTTTTAATTGTAAAATTTTTCAAATAAAACAATTTTTTTATTCTTCTTTATTCATATATTTTTCCTTTTTGTATAAATATATTTCGGTAGAAATTATCCCATTCTGTTAGTCATGTTTTTTAAATTCTAAAAATATTTATATTTATAACATGATTTGAAATCTCTGTACATTCTTTTTAAACTGTTTGTTCTTGCTGCTTACAGATCTTTTCGTGAAGAGTATTCCCATTCCCTTTCTGACTTATTTTAGATTGTAAAATTATTTTTAGATAAAAGATTTGTTTTTATTTGTTTTTATAATAGTCGGTTTCATTCGTTTTTAATAAATTAGTTTCACGTGATATCATATTTTTAATTGTAAAATTTTTCAAATAAAACAATTTTTTTATTCTTCTTTATTCATATATTTTTCCTTTTTGTACAAATATATTTCGGTAGAAATTATCCCATTTTTTTAGTCATGTTTTTTTACATTGTAAAAATATTTATATATATACGATTATTTAAATCTGTTTAGAAATTATCGTTTTTAGGTAAAACATGTTTTATCTGACCCGGTCTTATCAAATCGAACTGTCTTAATATATATTGTGGTACGGATAATCGAAAAGAAAAAGAAATTCGATTCTGTTTTTTTTGTTGATGTTTCTACTTGTTATGTAAACGTATTTCATTACTTATTATTTGATTGATTTTGGAAAAATAATTTTGGATGGGAAATTTAGCTAGATACGATAATTAGTTTCTATTTTCTTCCACATCTGAATTTTTTATATAAACTTGTTTAACCATACATTGAGTTGTTCATCATGCCGTTTGTTTGTTGAAACGTAAGTGAACGGGATAAAATATTTTTGTTGTTGAATATTTGAAATAGTTATATGAATATGTTCACCTTACTTTAATTAATTGATATTGTATTTTTTTGTGTTTGTTTTAGATTATATTCATCATAAGCATCATTTGACAATAAAAAAATTCAAAGATTGATTAAAAGAAAGTCACCAAGTTTTTGACTTTCTGAAGTTTCTTACTTAGTATCAGCTATATCTTCACTAAGTACCACAGAAGATTTAGCTTGAAAGAAACTTTTTCTTGATTGTCTCGCCAAGTAAAGAGATATACGTGTTTCTCACTAAGGAGTTTAAGCAATACTTAGTTTATATACTTGCTTAATCTCAACGAGAAATTTAAAATTATAAAATTACAAATATTTTATTCAATTTCATTCAATTGAATATGGTTCGTAAAAAATCAAGTTCGTCAAAACTTAAAACACGAAAAGAAGCATATAAACGAAAACAACAAGCTCGTTCATATGCCAGTCGTTCATGGCGAATTTTGCTGCTAACAGTAAGAGCTGTTCAGAAATTTTCAAGCTTTAGACATAAAAATGGAATAGCCATGTGTGCATCGAGACGATTCGGTACAGTTGAATCAGATTTAATTCATTCAGACTCTCATAATTATTGTAGTAATACAGAGACACAATATCAATCTGTGAAACTATTAAAAACACAAGACGAATGTGACGATGTAATCATCATCAAAAAAATTATGAAAAAAATTGTATCCAAAGTCTGTCGCCTAGATTATGAACGAAACAGACAAATAAAGATTCGAAAGCGAAAACTAATGTTAAAGTCTATTATGCCTAACAAGGAATCGATTTTAAAAGAAAGTGAACAGAGCATTTCGTTTAAAAACAAATATTTTCAGAATATTTCATTTCGAGAACAAAAAAAAAAAAATTCCAAAAACTACTTTCGATATAAATATCAAAATAACAATAATTTTCGTGAAAAACAAAAAGCTAGAATAAACAGATATATTTCAGTAAAGTATCGAAATAATATAAATTTCCGTGAAAAGGTAAAAACGCAATCAAAGATTCATATTTTGAATAAATATCATAATAATTTAGATTTTCGAAATCAACGTAAAGCATATATGAAAACTCAAGTTTTGAAGCGATATTATACTGATGGTTCAATACGATTGAAAATGATTCAGCATGCATTAAATTGGTATCGTAGTAATAATACCTTGATGAAAAAAAATTCAAGACGAATGTATAACCAACGTAGACGTATTTTGAAAAAATATACTGCTATTCAAAGCCATAAATGTACAGCTAGACATAGAACTTTGTACATAAATAACTTGAATAGATTTCGACAAATAATTCGACAAGGACCTGATTATGTTTGTATATCATGTCAATTAGCACTTTTTCGTAACCAAGTGATACCATTCGTTGAACAAAAATACATAAAAGAAAGCATGTCATATGAAATAAAGAAACGTATTCAATCTTACTTTAACTATTCATTACTAAGAGAAAGAAAATGGATTTGTAAATCATGTTCAGACAAAATAAAGAAACGACAAATGCCAAGCCGAGCAGTCGTGAATAAATTGAAAGTTTGTGAAATTCCATCTGAATTAAAAAGATTAAATAATCTTGAAAAACATTTGATTGCTTTACAATTACCTTTTATGAAAATTGTAAATTTAACATCAGGAAAATTATCGA